CCCCCCCCTGCCGCAGCTTTTGCGACAAACTTGCGAACACCGCTGGCCGAACACCACTTGTCGCAATTGCATCTGTCGCAACCTGCGACAAACTTGCGAACACCGCTGGTCGAACACCTCCTGTCGCCATGGCACACCTCCTGTCGCAACTGCACCTGCCGCAACTCCTGCGAAAAACTTGCGAACACCGTTGGTCGAACACCACTTGTCACAACTGCATCTGTCGCAACTTTACCTGCAACAAACTTGCGAACTCCGCTGGTCGAACACCACCTGTCGCAACTGCACCGGCCGCAACTGCTGCGACAAACTTACGAACACCGCTGGTCCAACACCACTTATCACAACTGCACCTGTCGCAACTCCTGCTACAAACTTGCGAACTCTTGCCGGAACTGCACCTGTCTCAACTCCTCGTGCGACAAACTTGCGAACACCGCTCGTCGAGCATCACCTGTCGCAACTGCACCTGCCGTAATTCCTGCGACAAACTTGCGAACTCCTGCAGCAACTGCACCTATCGCAACTCCGGCGACAAACTTACGAACACCTGCTGCAACTGTGCCTGCCGTAACTCCTCGTGCGACAAACTTGCGAACACCGCTGGTCGAGCACCACCTGTCTCACAAAAGCCTCCAGCAAAAGAAATTCCCAAGAAAATTAGGAGGGAATATTCCTTCATGCATTCATTCCACAACAAAGAAATATCCAATATTTCCTTTCTTCAGCTGCAGGAGATTCCTCAGATTCCTTTTCTTTTTCCAATAAGGATCCGCACAAGAAATATTCCTCCCCTTGATGCGTTCCTCTACTTTCAGCCAAAGAACCAAGGAAAGAAAAAACTTCTTTCGTTAGCTTTCAAGAAAAGACCGAACCCTTCCTCCCCCGCGAAATTTCCTCCCGCAGGATTCCTGGCGAACCCTACCGCGATGCACCTCCTGTTGCGCGAACTCTTCTGTTGAGCCCGCGCCGAAGCCTCTCTGGCAGAATCGCAAGGTGAATCCTTCTGTAGCGCAAAACTCTCCGGTTCTCCGAATCTGTCGCTGTCTGGTCCGATCTGCTCCGCCTGTCCGCAGAACTGCAGAAGCCTCTGTTCGCAAGCAGATCCTGACGCAAAAATTGCTGAGCTGGCTTCTTTTGTCACCAGATAAGTCCGCAATTCCGAACCGAAGCCCCCCTACCGCGAATCCTTCTCCTGTATGCAGTCTTCTTCGCCCGAACCTGCGTTCCCGTAACTGTCGTCATCGCTCCGAACGACCGTCTGAAAAACTTCTTCTTGGGCCGAAGTCGTTCTTCCCGGTGAATTTCTTGATGTCGAATTTGGCGGTTGCCATTATCGTGGTTGAAATTCTGACAGACGGCGCCAATTGTTATGAATTCTTGCCCCGCCAAACACCAAGAGAAAATTCCAAAGAACTCCTGCAGCTCTTGATCACCAAGAACACCAAGAACCTGCAAAGCTTTAAAGAATTGGACAGCCTTTCAGTTCTTGCAGAGCCTCCAAGAAACGAACACCTGCCTGCATGTTGCGATCTTGTTACCCTTTCTCTTCAAGAACCTGGGTTGCCGAAAGAGGAGGGGAGAAACAGGGAAAAGAAAACTGTAGGAAGAAAATGTGACAAGGACACAAACACAAGAACACAACAATTACGTGGTTCAGTCCATAGACCTACATCCACAGAGGGAATCAACTATCAATCCACTAAAGCAAAGAAGAATTACAAAGCTTTCTTTTATATTGAGGAATGACCAATCCTCTTGACATCTCACCCTCGAAACTACCTCAATACAAGATCAAAGACTTCTCCCTCAATTCTTGAAACCTCTCCCTTTTTGCTTCTTCTTGGACAAATTTCCTTCCTCTTCTTGGTATTTTTGGTCTTCTTTCTATCTTCCTCCTTGTAGTGGTCTCTCCCTTCTACAAGCCCATCTTCTTCCCTTGTAGTAGTCTCTCCCCCCTACAAGTCTATCTTCTCCCTTGTAGTCTTATTCCCCCTCTCCTACAAGCCTCTCCCTCATCCATTTATAAATAGATGAGGCCCCCCCAACCCCCAAGTAGACCATAGAAGCTAGGAAATCACAAGTATGTCATTAACATAATTAAGAGTAATATTATAACACAAAGAAAATCAAATAAAATAATAATAGTTATAACAATGCATAATATTAGGATAAAGAACTAAGCTAGATAGCTCTGGATAAAAAAATAAGAAAAACTTTTTACAAGTTTCATGTCCATGAAAATCTAAACTTTTTATTTCGAGAATCATCATCATCATAAATCAAGTATCCTCACCTTTTCATAATTATCAGCCTTTAAATCATAATCTTCTCTATCGCCCTCATCATTCTCCAATTTTGTTAGACTTGAAGAAAATTCCTCTTTCCTTTTTTTTTTAAAGATCTTTGTTGATTGTTGTTGATTCTTTCATGCACTGATGCACAACACTAGATTTTGCAATATTACTCTAGTTAAAGCAATTAAAATATTGTAAAAAATTTTATTAAAAAAATATCCTTTATAGC